AACTCAAGAACACTTAGAAGGTGCTTGAAGATTCGAAGATCTAACACACATATGATGATGTTTGTGTAAGATATCCATGATTTAAGTAGAAAGAAGGAGAAATAATCATGTGAGGAGTGATATTACTTACTAGGAGTAGATGAAGAGCTTGTGATCAGCCTTGGACTTTTCGAGATTAGAGAGGGATAGTGAGAGAGAATGAGTTTTTGCTTTTTGGTGAAGTGTGAGTGAAATGGGAGGAGAGATAAGGGTCTTACTATCCTTGTGTCAAGGCACTTGGCTGAAAAGAGTGGGAAAAAGGACAATGAAATGACCAGGTATGGTAGAATAATAACTGGGGATGGTCTTGGAGTGGGTATGGGAGGTGACTTGTGTCCTTGCCCAAAGGATAAGTCAACACTCCACTCCATATCTTACCCACTATATTTTTAGTCTTAGATATTGATTACCCTCAAAATGTGATTAGATTATGGAAATATGGGGTCTTATATGTCAAAATATAAGTTTGGGTGAAAATCCCGCGTTAAAATCACGAAAAACGGGCTCAAAACGCTAAAATATTGAAAACCGGGTAAAAGTTGCGAATTTCCGAAGTTCAGGGTCGGAGGTTCGGTCCTAGCCATTAGAACCGAAAGTAGATGGGAACCGAGAGTAGGGTTCGGTCTTGAGCAGCTTCGCATCTCGGACCCGAAAGTAGCATTCTCGGGACCAAGGTGTATTCTCGGACCGAAGGTGGCATTCTCGGACCGAAGGTCAAGTTCGGTCTCTTAGTAGGTTCGGTTCAGGAAGGTGGTTTCGGTTCTCAAGAGGTTTTGGTTCCTTAAGAAGGTTCGGCTCCTTAAGAGGGTTCGGCTCCTTAAAGCTGTTTTTCGCGTAAACTTCTGTTTTCGAGCGGTTTTCGACTAAATTAAGGGTCGGGATGCCCCGAGTGATTATAAGAAGTTGAGAGAGATTTGGGAGAGATTTGACATACTTGGAGAGATTTGACATACTTAGAGAGATTTGGGAGAGATTTGACATACTTGGAGAGATTTGACATACTTAGAGAGATTTGGGAGAGATTTCACATACTTGGGGAGATTTGACATACTTGGAGAGATTTCTCATACAGAGAGAGATTTGGGAGAGATTTCACACACTTGGAGAGATTTCTCATACATAGAGAGATTTGGGAGAGATTTCACACGCTTGGAGAGATTTCTCATACAGAGAGAGATTTGGGAGAGGTTTCACACGCTTGGAGAGATTTCTCATACAGAGAGAGATTTGGGAGAGATTTTAAATAGAGAGAGATAGAGTGAAAGAGATTGAGAGAGACTTCGTTTGCGACCTTTTTAAGTGTTTGGCTTCGTAACGCAAGGTTCTTACACTCTGTTAAGCCTTGTTATGAATGTTATACGCCCCCGAGGGGTATGGAATAATGTTTTATCGAGTAGATTCATCACTTACCCTGATTAGGGTTTAGAATTTCCGAACACGTGAAAACTCTAAGTGATACTTTGTATTAAGATTGCGAGTAGTACAATAAGAATCATAATGGAAACCCTAATATGCAAGGGTTAGATGAGTTGACCGGTTTGACTTGTTGACTTTGGTTGACTTTGACATGACCAAAAATTGACGGTTGTCACAATTATAGTAGAAAGATTCAAAAGATCAATTGAAACTGTAAGTCGATATTTCAAGGTATTCTTAGATGCGGTATGTCGATTACATAAAGAGTTCTACAAGAAACCTGTGCCAATACCTGATGACGAAACCGATGAGAGGTGGAGGTGGTTTAAGGTTAGTAATTAGTTATTATAAATTTATTTAATTCCAATATTAATTAAAAAATTTGTTTTATGTACAGGGTTGCCTAGGAGCATTAGATGGAAGATATATCAAAGTTAAAGTCCCTGCAGCAAAGAGAAAACTTTATCGAACACGCAAAGGTGAGCTTTGTACTAATGTACTAGGAGTGTGTTCGAGAGATCTTCAGTTCATATATGTACTAGCGGGATGGGAGGGTTCCACAACAGATAGTCGAGTACTGCGAGATGCTATTAATAGACCACATGGTCTTAAAATACCCCATGGTATGATATACATAAAACATAAAGCTACATAATATTATCAATACAGTCTAACTAAATATGTAGAATCTATTGTAGGAACATACTACCTTTGTGATGCCGGTTATACAAATGGTGAAGGTTTTTTAACACCTTATCGCGGGCAACGTTACCATCTTAACGATTGGTCTCGACCTCCTACAAATGCTAAAGAGTTATATAACATGAGACATTCATAGGCAAAGAACGTAATAGAACGATGTTTTGGATTGATTAAATCTAGATGAGCTATTTTACGTGATAATGCATACCATCCAATAGAATCTATGCCACATATAATCATTTCATGTTGTTTGATGCATAACTTCATACGTACAACCATGACGGAAGACCCCCTTGATCAAGAAATCCCTACAAATCGCACCCAATTTGGAGACAAACATGACAACATCATTTCTACTGTGGAGACCTCACAAGGATGGACTGACCGTCGAGATCTTCTTACTGATACTATGTTTACTGATTGGGGTTCAAGGCGTGCCAATAATTAATTTATTCCATGTTTTTATGTAAACTTCATTATTCATTATGTGGTGTTTATACTATTTTTAATGGTTGAACAACTCTATTGTTATTTCATTATTCTTGTTTTTATATTGTATTCATTATGTGGTGAGATAATATTTCTTCAGTTTGAATATATTTGTAAATTATTTATTTATATTAGAAATATGTTTTTCAATATTAGATACATATAAAATAATATTAATTAACAAGAAAATAAATTATTTGGTAAAAAGTGATGTTATAATAAAAAATTATAAATATAAAATATACTTATTTTGGCAAACTAAGATGTGCATTATAATGCATTTTTATAAAAACAATGTTGTTTGAAAATAAATAAACAAGGTAAAAAAAATGCATTTCCATTTCACTGTATAATACTGTCAAACAAGAGAAATGATTTTCAGACACATTTTTCTAGTGAATTCTCAGTTCTACCAAACAGGGGAGTCAATTCTCTTTCTCTGCATTTCCATTCATTTTTCTGTACCAAACAACCCTAAGTGTTTCAATTGTTTCATTTGATTATCTGAGTAGTTGCAAAGTAAAATAAAAAAATAAAAACATATATATTTTGGACTTACAATCATTTGAATATTAGAAAATTTTGAAAAATCACTATTTGCATATGTATAAAAGAGGTATTGAATTTTGATAATTTTCTTTTGGAACAACACGAATTTAATATAATTTTAGATTGGTTTACTTTTTTTTTTTTTTTGAAACGGCGGTTTAGATTGGTTTACTTGCTAAATTAATTGATTACAGATTACGAAAAATAAATCGATTCTAAAGTTTGTTATTTTTACAATTTCGAGTGTATAAAATTTATTATAAAAAATGGAAATTCTAACCATAATTGTATTACGCGTATATGAAATTAATTAAGAAATATAAGTCTAAGGCCTTTCGTACAATTCCTCTAGAATATTCGTTACCTTCCTGGACTACTTCCACCGGGTCAACATCATGGCATCACTTGGAAGGTTCCTTTTTGACAATTACAAATTAGCCAATTAGGTTTGTAAACAATTAAATGACTCATGATATATGTTTGAGTTAGGCATAACTTTTCCTGATGGTATATATGTTTACCTTTTTCTATAAGAAAGTTGCATGATAATATATTGTTCGAAAAAATAGGTTTACCCATTATAGGAAATGTTAACGGAAAATGGTTTTGTTAATTGGACTTGTGTTGCAACTTTAATCTTATCAAACCACTTATTATGATTGGAATTACCTTGAGACAATCTCATTTTAGTTTTAGCTATAATGTGAAATTGCAGGTATGCATACGTACCTCAGATAAGCTAAAGTGGTTTCGGAAACAAGGGGTTTCGACACAACGCCTCTGGTGAAGTTCCAAGGGCATCACCCCTGACAGGTCCAAAGGCCCGAAACATGATCCATGGGTAATTGATATCTTCATTCGTTATTTTACTGCAAAAAATATAACTGTTATTAACAGAGGTGACTTTCACATCAATTTCAATCGAAAATCACTGCCGTTCATTTATATATACAAGATTTTGGTTCTTGCATACTTACTTTTTGCTAATGATATTCAATAATTTTTATTTATTATTATTTTTTGTCTCAAGAACATAAAATGTAACATGGTATTGTGTGTTTAGAATCTTAGATTTTTGCTTGAAATCCACATTGCAATTTTTAGATTATACCAAATCTGGTTTTATGTAAACCCCAAGCTATAGGGTCGAAATCACATCGTTTGAAAAGTGTTTTCACATATAATCTTAAAATTATCCAAGTTATTGTTGATATTGCAAGTTGCAACCCTGAATTTTAACCATGTGCTGACCAAAAATTTTGAGACACGGTTTTGCTGATATATTTTTTTCGTAACCGACAAACTAGTGACATTTTCAGTTTATGATCCTGTTTAAAAACCAAAATTAAACATAAATTCAATAAGTTTTATGGCTTCGTCATTATGAGTAAGTTACAGATTTGAACATAACTCTTACACTCTCTCTTTTCTTCTTATGTTGTTGTAGATTTTTTTCGTCGATATGTTTCATTAATAATTGGATAGTTATTATTATTATTTTTTGATAATACAACATAGTATGTTTTATAACTTTTCTTATATTAAAACTGATTAAAAGTGTAAAGTAGGCACTTTTTTTTTATAATAAATAATGAAAACCCAATCAAAAGAGGGTGGTGACGGAACGTAGTTTTCACGTCAAAATCTTATCCGACCCGAATAACTTGCCTTAAAACCCCCCCCCCCCCCCCCCCCCCCTTTTTTTTTTTATCGTTAAAACCCCCAAAACATCTCCGATCTATACGCACATTCTCAATTCAACCTTCTGTCAACGATCCACAGCCCTAATTCTCCACTCCGAAATTATGCAACCCCAGAAAACCCTACCGGAATCCGACTTACCGTCGCTCGCCGCCATCAAAGTCAAGTCATCATCCCCTCGTTTCCGTCCTACCAATCCTTCCGCTACCGAAACCCCCACTGCCGGAGCACAACGCAGGATAGGCATCGCTGTCGATCTTAGCGACGAGAGTGCCTTTGCTGTAAAGTGGGCCGTTCACCAGTATCTCCGGCCCGGTGACGCCGTCATCCTGATCCATGTCCGTCCTACTTCCGTCCTTTACGGCGCTGATTGGGGCTCCGTTGATCTCTCCATTGTCGACACTGACAATGAGGAATCACAGCAGAAGCTCGAAGATGATTTCGATACTTTCACCACTACAAAATCCGCTGCCCTAGCGCAACCTCTGGTCGACGCGCACATACCGTATAAGATCCATATCGTGAAAGATCATGACATGAAGGAGAGGCTTTGTTTGGAAGTTGAACGCCTAGGGTTAAGTGCGGTTATCATGGGAAGCCGAGGATTCGGTGCAACAAAACGCGGAAGCGATGGGAGGCTCGGGAGTGTTAGCGATTACTGTGTCCGTCACTGTGTGTGCCCGGTGGTGGTTGTGAGATATCCCGATGAGAAAGATCCCGCTGCTGCTGTTGAGCCGGTGGTTTCGGTGGCAACAGCCGATGATGAAGAAAATGACCCTGAATTCCATGATGCAACCGATGAACGAAAATGTTAGTTCCCCTTTTACCTTCTCTTTGAACCAATTTCACTTTCTGTGTTTCTACTGTTTAATTTAGTTAAATTAAGGTATGAATGAATCCGATGAACATCTTTCCACCATTACCCACAAATAAAAGACCAATTTGATAGCATCTGTAGGCGATTTTCAATTAATTAATCTTGCACAATCTTCTTTATGACAGAAACATAGATGGAATGGTCTCTGTTTGAATCTTTCATTTAGAGATAAGGACTAAAAATCGAATCTAATCAATCCATTTATATATTACAAGATCCAGTGTGTATATAAGTTTATGAACTTGTAAGCTCCATTAAGCAAACCCAATTATGTATGTTTCTTGTATAGGATTTGAAGGTGTTCTTGAATAATTTAGTTGGGATTTGATTTACCAAATGCAGGATGACCAGAAGGCATTGCAGTGTGCAAAGTCGAGGTTGGATTTAGTCATTTTTTAGTGTTTGGATTTGAATGGATGTCGTATATGATGAGGTAGAAACTCGTGCTTTTTTTTTTTTAATGATGAGTATGTTGTGTCTATTATCAGTTATTTAACTGGATTCTATGTGACATAATACTTGAATGTAATATAACTATGTCTTTGATTATGTATCCTCAAAGATTGTTGCTATTGTTGAATTTGAAGGTTCCATGCTGGTTTTTGGATTATTTTGGGGAATAGATTTTCATAAAGACTTATATTTTCAACCTTTTACTCAAAAAGCCATCAGTTTACTTATTTTTTTATTAGGAAAAGTCAATTGACATTTTGAAAAAAAAACTTCAGTTTATCCATTGTGATTTTAAGTTTTTTGTGGGCAAAATATAGAAAAACATAACCATTTATCTATCAGTATTAAGAAAAACTCTTATATTTTGTTTGTATGCTGAAAAACTCACATATTAAGAAAAAGGGAAAATGACACTGTAGCACATTAAAGTTTCATCATTTGTCCGATTTGGTCATTAAAGTTATTTTTTTGCGCAATAAACCACTAAACTCGTATCTGACCTATCAATTAAGCCATTTTACGACAAATTAACAGGTTACCCGGTAACAAAATCTGAATATGATGTGGCATTAGTAATTAATTTTTCTTTATTGTTTGGTATGTGATGTGTGTGATGTGCATGGGAAGCTTTCAGCTCGTCTCCTTCTCTTTCTGAACATGTTACCCTATCCCCCTGTTATCTTTTTCTCTTCCCAAGACTCTTTTTCTCTTCCCAAGACAACTGTTCCTTTTCTTCTTTCTTCCGACCGTGTTCATCGAAAATTCTCCCCACTAAAGAACTGCCACCGATCTCTTACCGGCTAACCAAAATCCAAGTATGCAATAGTAACTATTTACTCACAACTCCTTTTCTCAATTTCTTTTCAGATTTAACTATGTAGAGACCCATTTTTATACGGTGAATGCGGAAGTAAGATATCTCGAGATTAATCGTGTTTTTGTAAGTATGAACATGAAGAACATATTATGAGTTCATGGAATAAGGCTAAGAACAAAGAGAGATAATAATATTAATGCATGGAGAACATGGTGGGAGAGAAACTCTCCCTGGGTGGGAGAACCCACCACTTTTCTCTCTCTCTAGATTATATTGTAAGAAGAGTAAAAGTAATCACTAACTAAGAAAAAGTGAGCTAGCTATTTAAGATATGACCAACTCTCCCTTTATATAGGAGGGAGAGTATTTACACCATAAATACAAATAAAGGGAAAAATACAACCTAACTATCACTCATTATTTGTAGAACATTTTCATGCTCTAACATTCTTTCCCTAAATGCTACAAATTATGAGAGATCGAATAAGTGATATAAGGCTATAATACAGTAATCCGACTAGCAAGTATGGTAATAAAATGAAATCAAGTGCTGAAATGTCTCTGAAACTCTGAAGTGTCTGTGAAGTCTGAAACTGGCCATGAATCTCTAACAATGAAGGTCTTCGGCTTCAAAGCACAACCAATGAAACAGAAAAAATAAGATCCAAATCTTCAAACCAGTCATAATCACTCGAAGAAGAAGGTCACCATGAGCAAGTAGAAGATCCAATAAAAGAAACACTTCGGCTTCAAAAATCTGAAAAACATATCGAGTTCTCGAATCATAATACACCGAAATTCTTCAAAGAATAACCTGCTAAAAATGTGAAGCATCCATAAAATGAAGTCCGGATAAAAATAATGTGAGTCCAAAAACATGGTCCAACAATGCCAAAAATTTGATCCAAGGATCAAAAATAAGTGTCACGTCACATTGCCAAAATAATATTCGTCTTCAACATATCACAAATCCAAACTCGTGAAACCATAAGATCTGAACCGGATGCGAACACAAAATCATCCTGTGGTAGAGTCCGAATTATAAATAATATGAATCGGAAAATATCGAGTAATGCCAAAAATTTGATCCGTAAAGACCAAAAGAAGTGCCACATCGCATCACTAAATAAATAATCGTCTTCAGAAGTCTTCAAAAATCCAAACTCAAACAATCATAATAACCAAATCCGGATGATATTCTCTCCCTATTTTTGATAACCAATGACCGGATATCAAAAATCAACAAATCATCGGATGGAGAGTGTCGGATACCAAGAGCTAAGATAAGCTCTCCCTAGATGTATGAAGGGTCTCGATAAGAAACGAGAAAGAGTAAAAGAGATACTCTTGCGGTCATGAGGAGGAGGGTGACATAGTTGTTGAAGTTGTGCTGAGAATAATCTGTTGTGCCAAAAATATATCCAAATATCCAAACTGCGGTGCCGGAACACTTGAAGTGGTCTTCAATAGAGAATAAAGTTCACATGCTCAAGATACATGATTCGTCAACCAAAAATCAAGAGCGACAAGTCATAAAATCTCATAAATGAAGAGAATGCGAAACAACTTGTTGATCAATCGCCGTTGCGGTGCAAACATCACAAAAAATAATATGAAGTCCGACTGCGGTAGGAGTATTCTTCAATAAACCCGGCATGAAATGAACCAATGTGACAATCCAATGTTCGGTTGTGGCAAGAATTGGTGTTAAAAAAAATAATTGGTGTAAAAAAAATAATTGGTTTTAATAAAAAAATTGGCTAAATAAAAAAAATTGGTGTTAAAAAGAATAGCTGAATGAAAAATAATTGGCGTTAAACTTAGTGATTAAGTCACGAATGACTTGCTCCGAAGAGAGATTATATTCAGTTATATTCAAGAGAACTTTGAGAGTAAGAAAGAAAGAGTAATAGTAGAAGATATAAGATTCAAGATGCGTAATCAGATAGATGTAAGAGATATCTAGAATAACAAAGATTGAGCTCTATTTATAGAGACTCAAATATTACATTGGATCAACTATCTATGTGTAGCCATGCAAGGCATACTGGACAATAGATAGTATTCTAACAAAAGTAGACAAGAGTTAAACTAAGCTAGATAGTGAATTGCGGTTGGTGATGACTTCGGATGAAGTTGCTGAAACGAGATGACTGCGGATCTTTGAAGGTTGCGGTAGACCAAGTTCAAGAGGGTCACTTTTATGATTCAACAATTTCTCCCTAAGTGACCTCTTTAACTTCTCTTCAGACCAAGGAATGCATTCAGACCAAGGAATACATTCCAATGTAATATTTGAGTCTCTATAAATAGAGCTCAATCTTTGTTATTTTAGATATCTCTTACATCTATCTGATTACGCATCTTGAATCTTATATCTTCTGCTATTACTCTTTCCTTTCTTACTCTCAAAGTTCTCTTGAATATAACTGAATATAATCTCTCTTTAGAGCAAGTCATTCGTGACTTAATCACTAAGTTTGATCACACTTACTAACTTGGTCTGAATGCATTCCTTGTTAAGAATCAACTTATGTGTATACTTGATATAATACCTGCTGTCGTTTATATTTCCTTACATTTCCGCAACTAACTCTCTAATTATCTAACTCATTAACTTATTATTATTGTTGAGCTTTTAGATCCTTTGAGATAAACTATTCCGCAACTATACTTGTTCTAACGTTTGTTCAAGTGTGTCTCAAGTTTTTCTCTCAACAAACTAAATCCTAATCATTTATGTGTTCCAAGCCTCCCATATTGAAGCAGTCTCCATGTTTTCAATCATCTTGTTTGAATGAACCTAGCTACACAACCCCAATCGGAATCTATGAGAATATTCGAACTTTTTCACGTCACGATGAGCTATCAGAGGGTTGATTTAAGTGAGGAAAAACGCGAGAGTTTTTACGGCTTCCATCACGATTTTTAACTGAAGCGGTCAGTTCAGTGGTGAGAAGCTACCTGAAGATGGTCGTTTGTGGTGTCTTTAAGCTTTGAAAGTCGAAAAACTTGAGCAAGACCTGGACATGGTGCGACGGAGACCGACAATGGCATGATACCGATGCTTTAGTTTCTTTCTCTCCCGAAATTGCTTCTTTTGTTTACCCTTTTTAAGGAGGAAACAGAGAAGTATACATAAGTGAATTAAAATTAACAAGAATCCTAAAATGGATGAACCGATTATGATTATCAAATTTGCGTAACTGATGTAACCGGTTAATGTTGTTGAGGCTTTAGGTTACAAATTTCCCAAAAGAACTATTTTGACGAAGGGAACATGAAGTGCAGACTCGATTGTCATTTTGAGTACATGAACTCGAGGTGAACAAGCCATTTGAGTAGTTGAATCCACATGGAGAACAAATATTTAAATCGTTAAATTTGGTTCGTGAAGAAGACTCGTGTTGAAAGTGAAGTTCTTTGGGCCACAAGATCCAGGAGCGCATAAATCTGGACTCATAACTATAATGGATTATCGATGTTGGATGGAGAAGAAGCGTTTGCGACCAACAATCTAGAACAATATCATCTTCTCGAATCCCACACATGATTGAATTAGATGAGGAGTTTACATTCCCCCAAAACTCAATTGTATGATTATCTTTTCTGATTCCTCAATTTTTTGCTAATGAGACAAATGAAGTTCCTGTGGATTGAGTTACTGGTGATGGAGATGGGAAGGGCTTGAGCTTAGCAGCTCACGAAGAAGAAAGAGATGAGGAGAGTCAGTGTGAAAGAATGGGTGTACGGTGGTGGGTCATTGAAGGACCAAATATATATGTTTATTAGAAAGGGTAGAGATGAGGTGGAATAATTTTCTCTCCAAAAGTAAATATTAAATGCCATGTAATTAAAATGACCGGTAAACCTTTTAAAATCGGGAAAAATGGCTTAATTGATATGTCAAATACGAGTTTAGTTGTTTATTGTGTAAAAAAATAATTTTAGTGACCAAATCGGACAAATGACGAAACTTTGATGTGCTATAGTGTCATTTTCCCTAAGAAAAACTCTTATATTTTGTTTGTATGCTGAAAAACTCACATATTTTCAGTTATCTTTTAGATTTACCCTAATATCTTTTTTTTTAAAGAAGTTACTGTTTTTTTTAACATAACATTTATCTTGATCGTTTTTAGGTTGATATGTAAAAAAATAAGTGATGTTATTTATTTTTGCTTAAGTAAATTGTCGTTGAGCAAATGATCTATTTTTCACGTTTTATGTCAGATAAGTAGCAACTTCACATATATTTGTTTCCATGTTAACCTAAAAAAATGAAAGGATAAATGTAATGTTACAACACAACCGATAATTTCTTAAAAAAATCAGATATTTGGGTTA